CTTAAAAGAAAAAAAATCACAGCCAAGGTCTTCAAATCACTGGTAATCACAATGCTTTGGAGATGTGGTAAGACACTCATTTGCAAAGCTCTATAATATTCCCAGCTGTAGATCGCTTAATGTATTTCATCTAGGGTAGTGATGGTGGAGGAGAATGAGGAAGGAAGAGAGTGAGCAAGGATGATTATTTCTACTTACCTATGGAAGAAGTGATCGATTACATGAATAGGCCAACATCACTCAATTTAGTCATAAAACTAAAACCAGAATTAAATGTTAATGTCTTGTCCAGGATGCTTTCTCTTAGGCTCTGTATCAACAATGTAAAGTGCCTCTAAGAAATATGACCCATGAGCTGAATTTTCAAGGGACAAGCAAAGGAACAAGGGCATTAAAGTGATCTACTGCTCTAGGCTACACTATTTTGGCCACAGTGGTAAGAACAGTAAGTAGTGTTGGCATCAGACAAACCAAACTTTAAATGTTGATTCTACTACTTACAAACAGCATAAACCTTGGTTAAGCCCCTTATCTTCTCCAAACTTCAGTTTCATAACATGCTAAACATGGGTGATAATACTTCCCACATGGGTTTGCTGTAAGGATTAACCGAGATAATAAGTGAGAAATGGCTTTGTAAACTACCAAGTGCCGTACATAAAAAGGCATTAACAAAATAGTCCAGGAGATACGTGAAGAAGTCAATACAGCATCCCTTTGTAGCATTTCCATGGAGACGGTGAAACCATAGCAGGCTTTTAGTTGTTTTTGTATGATTTTAGAAATCTTTTTTTAAGGCTCGGGATGAAAGCTGATAGGATTGAAAATGCTGGGAGATTAGGAGAAGAGCTTGAGTTTGAGCTCATAATCTTCCTGTGCAGCAACATATTGACAAACTAATGCTCGAGAGTGAATGATTTCCGTGGCACAGGAAATCCATCCAGTTAGCTGCTTCCTATAGATAGAAAAGTGCTAACACAGGTCAAGGAAGCTTAGCCACAGGAAAAGAGTTTAGGAATTTTTCAATGCCAAGATTTTCCACTGCCTGCCATTGGTCTAATCATAATCTGAAGGAAATTCCCAGGAAAATCTTTGTCGCCACTATTCCTCAAAAAAAATTCAGCAGCAAAGATAGAATTCCATATACCTTCTGGATCACCAGCTAGGTGGTGACACTCTGTTAGCCAATCCCAAACTCACCATCAGGCAAGTTGTGGTCTTTTGGTGTATGTCGCATTTGAGACTGATGCATTTGAATTGCAGTTCAAGGGTGGGGGAACATTTATGCTGTAGGTGTGGGTCTTGACCTCAGGTTTGGATTTCCATTCCAGCTCCACCACTTACTAGTTCTGATACCTCGTGAATACCACTTGGTTTTTGACCATTTATTCATTCACTCATGGAAAAGAAAGTTGAGTTAGAAGGTTAGCTCTAAAGATGGTCAGAGTTGAGAAGTACTTTTTGGATGTGACAGGAAAGACATTGCAGAGGTGGAGATATTGGAGACTTAAGAAATTTAAGATGATGTAACTAAACCAGGTCTAAAGGAGACAGATGAGATGGAAGCAGAAGCCCAGATGAGAGTGTCATCCTTAGGAACAAGAATGCTCCGTCTTCTATGTGATCACATGTGCAGATGTGCTGTGATACAGCTGATGGATGCTGCTTTCATTTTCAAAAGTGGGAGTGAGATATATTTCAAGGCACCACTTTAAACTGTTCCTTTTTATTTTTCACTAACAACTAGCCCTCAGGGTTTATCAATCTACAAATCAATAATGTTCCATGTTTGTTCCTAATGAGAAGCATACAGTGCTATTTTAAGCTACCACATATGGTGATCTGAAAGCTAGTTTGGTGAGTTAAGGACAAATAAATTTCCCTGAAGTGGGCTTATCAATTGGACATCTCTGTGCCTAGTCTAATTTATCAAACAGAGAATCAGAAGGGATCTGCATAATTCAGCAGGTCCTTACTGTCACTCTACAGGCACTGTTTTAGGTTCCAGGAGAGAGCCTCAAATGAGTAAGACATATTGTGCTTTGCTTTATTGTACTTTGCAGAGAGCCCGTTTTTTACTAATTGAAGGTTTACGGCAACCCTGCGTTGAGTAAGTCTGTTGGCACCACCATTTTTCCAACAGCATGTGCTCACTTTGTGTCTATGTGTCACATTTTGGTAATTTTTGAAATATTTCAAACTTTTTCATTATTATTATATCTGTGATGGTGATCAGTGATATGTTATCTTTGATGTTATTATTGTAACTGTTTTGGGATGCCATGAACTGTGCCCACATACAACAGTGAACTTAATTGACAAATATGTTACGGCTGCCACACCGACCACCTACTTCCACATCTCTCTCTCTCTCCTGAGCCTCCCTATTTCCCGAGACACAACAATATTGAAATTAGGCTAACTAATAACCCTACAATGGCTTCTAAGTGTTCAAATAAAACGAGGGTTCACATGTTTCTCATCCTAAATTCAAAGTCAAAAATAATTAAACTTAGTGAAGAAGGCAAGTTGAAAATCAAGATAGGCTGAAAGTTAGGCCTCTTATGCCAAGCAGTTAGCCAAGTTGTGAAAGAAAAAAAAAAGTTTTTGAAGGAAATTAAAAGTGCTACTCCTGCTGGTGGGACTGCAAACTAGTTCAACCTCTGTGGAAAGCAATATGGAGATACCTTAAAGTGATACAAGTGGATCTACCATTTGATCCAGCAATTCCACTACTGGGCATCTACCCAAAAGATCAAAAGTCACTTTATGAAAAAGACACATGCACTCGAATGTTTATAGCAGCACAATTCACAACTGCAAAGTTGTGGAAACAACCCAAGTGCCCATCAATTCATGAGTGGATTAATAAAATGTGGTATATGTATGCCATGGGATACTACTCGGCTTTAAGAAACAATGGTGATATAGCACCTCTTGTACATTCCTGGATACAGCTGGAACCCATTCTACTAAGTGAAGTATCTCAAGAATGGAAAAACCAGCACCACATGTACTCACCAGCAAATTGGTATTAACGGATCAACACCTAAGTTGACATATAGGAGTAACATTTATCGGGTGTCGGAGGGGGGGAGGGGAAAAGAGGGGATGGGTGTATACAACCAGAACGAGTAATATGTGCAACGTTTGGGGGATGGACATGCTCGAAGCTCTTACTCGAGGGGGGCATGGGCAATATATGTACCTTAACACTTGTACTACCATAATACGCTAAAATAAAAAAATCAAAGTGCTACTCCAGTGAACATACAAGTGATAAGAAAGTGAAACAATCTTATTGCCCATATGGAGAAAGTTTTAGTGGTCTGGATAGAAGATCAAACTAGTCAAAACATACCCGTAAGCTAAAGCCTAATCCATAGCAAGAGCTTAACTCTCTTCAATTCTGTGAAGGCTGAGAAAGGTGAGAAATCTGCAGAAGAAAACTTTGAAGCTATCAGAGTTTGGTTCAAAAGGTTTAGGAAAAGAAGCCATCTCTATAACATAAAAGTGCAAGGTGAAGTAGTGAGTGCTGATGTAGAAACTGCAGCAAGTTATCTAGATCTACCTAAGGTAAATGATGAAGGTGGGTAAGCTAAACGATAGATTTTTAATGCAGACAAAACATTGTTCTATTGGAAGAAGGTGTCATCTAGGACTTTCATAGTTGGAGAGATATATTAATGCCTGACATAAAAGCTGAAAAAGGACAACTCTTTTAGGAGGGGCTAATGCAGCTGGTGCCTTTAAGTTGAAGCCAATGCTAATTTACCACTCTGGAAATCCTAGTGCCCTTAAGAATTATGCTTAATTTGCTCTGCCTGTGCTCTATAAATGGAACAACAAAGCCTGGCTGACAACACATCTGTTTATAGAATGGTTTACTAAATATTTTAAGCTCGCTATTGAGACCTACTATACAGAGAAAAGCTCTCCTTCAAAATGATAGAGTAGGAGCCTAAGAGATGGGGTGAAACTGGAAGTAGAGGGCTTGGAGATCAGGTGCAGGTGTTAAAATAAACAACTTTTAAGCGGAAGCTAACTAGAGGGGCTGATAACCGCAGCAGGAACTGGCTTCAGCCGGCTTGTCAGCTATCTCTGTCACCCTTACATGAACTTTTTGGCTAATTATAATATCATTTATATTGTGATTTTAAAATTTTTCTGTGCTTAAAATCACCATGACAGTTCCAAGACAACCATATATAGTATGAAAATGGCAGGGAATCCAATTCCAGGAATTACTACCCAAATCCTCACTAAAAGTCAACCCCTTGACCTTGAATATTCCTCCTTTCAATTATTAACAGTAAAACTACAAAAGATCTAAAACCACTTCCTCCCAGTGCAGCTGCTCTCTTTCATGCCTGCCTGTTCTCTTTCCTGAGAGTATCATTTCACATTCAATAAAAAGCTGTCACTTTCTTGGCTTACATTGTGTATCCTGAAATTCTTTTCCTGATGATCACCAAGAACTTGGAAAAACCTCTACTCAGAGGCTAAGGAACAAAAATAATACTGCTCATTGACAATGTACCTGATCACCCAAGAGCTCAGATGGAGATGTACAAGGAGATTAGTGTTGTTTACATGCCTGCTAACAAACACAACATTCATTCTGCAGCCCGGGGATTAAAAAAGTCATTTCGAATTTTGTCTTATTATTTGAGAGACACGTTTTATAAGACTATAGCTACAATAGGGAGTGATTTTTCTGATGAATCTGGGTAAAACAAATTGAAAACCTTCTGGAAAGGATTCACCACTCTAGATGCCATTAAGAACATTCATGATTATGGGAAGAGGTCAAAATATCAACATGGTCAGGACTTTGGAATAAGTTGCTTCTGACCCTTATAGATTACTTTGAGGGGTTCAAGACTTCAGTGGAGGAAGTAAGCACGGATGTGGTAGAAATATCGAGACAGCTAGAATTAGAAGTGGAGCCTGAAGACGTGACTGTATTGCTGCAGTCTCATGATAAAAGTTGAATGGGGGAGGAGTTACTTCTTATGTGTGAGCAAAGAGAGTGATCTCTTAAGATGCAATCTACTCCTGGGGCAAGACGCTCCACCAGCAAAAAGATTAAGACTTGCCGAAGACTCAGATGATTGGTAGCACTTTTTGGCAACAGAGTATTTTTTAGTTAAGGTATGTACATTGTTTATTTTGAACATATTTTGCATATTTAATAGACTACAGTATAGTGTAAATAAAATGCTATGTGCAGTAGGAAACAAAAAAAAATTGTGTGATTTTCTTTATTGTGATATTCGCTTTACTGTGATGGTCTGGAACTGAACAAGGCATGTCTGTAATTTATGTCAATTCACTTTAATTCTCAACAGCCCCATGAGAGGAAAGAGAGGAACGGGGAGACTAAGTGACTTGCATGAGCCTTCCAGGTGCTAGAAAGGAGAGCTGGGATTTGAACCCACGTACTTGGCTCTAGGATGTAATTGTCACCTCTTGGCTATGGTGCCTTGGGTACCTTAACACCTAGGTGATCTCTAAGGTCCTAAGAGGTGCTAACATCCGACGTGGCCATGAAATTAACTTTTTGGACAGACTGGTAGCTTCTTGAGTCTTATTGTAATTCCAAAGCATTTTTCCTCTGAATTTACTGGAAGTGCTGCAAGGAAGACAAGCAGTGCAAGGAAATCCTCAATTTCTCAGCCCCGCTGCTGGGTCACCAGTGGAAAAGTTTGAAATGGCCTCAAGGTGGCAGCATTAACTCGAGTATGGATGGACAGAACCTGGTATCTGGCCTTCAACTAATCCAAAAGTTGGAATTCGCCCTTTTCTTGCCCTTCATTTTTTCCTAAAACCCCCAGGTGTAACTATTTGGAGGTGAAGAGTCAAATTGATCTTGTGAGGAGACCAGTGAAGGAGGCAGAGGAGTCAAAGCAGAAGATTTTCCCCGGAGTTAAGAGCCTTTGGGAAGGAAACCAAAGAGGATAATTCAGTGTCATGAGGAACTGATGAGGTTCAAAAACGTTAATAATTTATCTCTGTTATCCATTCAGTGAGCGGCACATTCTAGGCCTCTCATTTGCCAAAACCCAGGACCCTTCCACTTTACCATGTTAAAAGTCTTCATTTTAAACTATTTAATTTTTTAGAATATTGAACACTAATAAAAGAGAGAACTAATTTATTTTACAGAGCCAGATATTTAGGCTAGATTCTCTCAGTCGTTGGAGTGTTGAAACTACAGGTGAAGTTTTCTCTTCTTTCCTCCTCCTCCTTCTTTCTCCTCCTGTCTCCTTCCCTTCTGGCCCCTCCTCTCCTCTCCTCTCCTCTCCTCTCCTCTCCTCTCCTCTCCTCTCTTTCTTTCCTCTCCTCTCCTCTCCTTTCCCCTCCCTCTCTCCCCTCCCTCCTCTCCTCCTCTTCCTCTCCTCCCTCTCCCCCCCCATCTCTCCCTCTTCCTTTCTCTATTTTTTCCTCGGTTGTTGTATTGATCAACTAAAATAACAAAGAAGAAATCTAAGTCTTCACATTTGGATATGTGGGTCAGGAGATTAGATGCTACAAAATGCCAAGAGTGGTACAAAAAATATCTTTGGGCTTTTATCACCTAGCTTACCACCTGCTTGGCCACTTTACATTTCTTCTGTTATCAAAAAGTTTAATTTATTCTAACAGGGAAATTTTCCTTGAAAATAGTTTTGTGAGAGCAAAGAAAAAGTCAGCCTGTCACTAGCACTGGGCTTTCCTTTGGCCCTTAAGGGATCTTTCAGGCTCTTCCACGTCAACAGTGATATTTCTGTTCCCTCAGGAAAGTGGTGTTTTGATTGCTTGTGTGTCTCTGAGCCTTGGATTGGGGTTGAGACCTTGGGGAACCCCCCTTGAGAGGCTCCTAAATCTACACAGGGCTGATGTCGGACCTCTCACAGAGTTTGTTATAACTCACTTAGGGTCTCAAGCAACCTGCAGCAGCAGCAGCTGAACTGCCTTTACCCTTTTATCCCACAGCCTCAGGAAATCTTTTACTCTTTGAAATCCAATGTCCTAGGAGACCAACAGCTCTTCTTTTCTTTTTCAGACTTCAAAAAGTCCAGTAGTTGAAGCGGTTGTGAATTGAGATCTCATAATTCCCAAGGACATAGGTATGTTTTCCCTGACTTTTTTTTTTTTTTTTTTGTAAAGCAGTCTTCTTCACACTGTGGGTAGAAATAATGGATTTGTCTAAAAAAAAATGGGACTCAGAAGTAGGTATAAAAAGACGACTCCTAATTCGATTTTTCCCAAGCTTCTCTGGCACATCTCATAAGAATAGAGACAGCAGTTTCCCATAGGTAACTCTGAGTCACCTTTACTTAGACAGCTGTCGACACAGTCATTTATAGGTGGGATGTTGCTGCCAACTGGTATTAATAAAATCTGGGAAACAGGTTCAGATGATTGGCCTACAGTTTAATAAAGAGATGGTAAACTAGTTTGTATCGAGCACCCACTATAGATCACACAGTTGGCTGGATCTTCCCATATTTTATCTTACTTCATCCTCTCTTGATAAAGGAAAACTGCCTTGCCTACAGTTCCAAAGAAACTAAGCATTCAAACTGTTATTCTGACTTAACTGCTGAAATTCTAGTTCTTTTTTTTTTTTCTGACACCCTCCTTTTTTGACACCCTCCTTTCCCACATACTGGATCTCATTCCTCTGTTCGTTTCACAGCACTCTGTATTTTCTGCTTGTAGCACATAGCCATGGCCTATAATTATATTTTTGTGATAATCTAAGTAGGGAATTCTAATTCACTCATTCACTTAACAAATATTTGAGTCTTCTCTGTGCCTGCCACTAGTCTAGGTAGTGGGTAATAATGCACAAAACAGCAACAACCAAGATAGATCTTGTCTCTTCCTTCATGGAATTTAGTCTAGTAGTTATTGAGTTTTCCTTAAAACTCCCCAGTCAGGGTGTGATGGCTGGGGGTGATTCTTCAAACCATTTTAGAAGCAATTTTGATGGAACCTTTTATTTCCAGACTGTCTGTCTTGATGGCTTAGACTTCTCCTCCTCTTTTTATAACAGTAATAATTCCTTCTATTTTAATGCTTTTTCAGTTTTCAACACACCTCTGCTAGATATTTTTAAAATGTTTGTTCCCGTTTGAGACTCCTTCTGACATTTATTTTGGGCCCATGAAGAAAAGCGTGGTCTTTGCAGGACTTGGGTGGTAGGAGACACAGTGGCAGCAGCAGGCCTTGGATCCAGGCCTGGCAACCCTGCAGGGCTGGCACTGTGTAGACGAGGTCTTTTTTCTCCATGCTGACTCCAGATTTCTCCTTGCCACTCTGGATCCAGACACATTTATTGACAGCCACTGTAATGTCGAATGGAAAAGGTTGCCCATCAAGAGAACACAGAAAGCACCTTGAATATTAATTGCTGATAGATGAACGTGGCAGTCCAAAATGGGGAGCATGAAATGGCTTCTAGAAATTGACCTGTGGCTTACCTGAACATACTTGGGTGGTCTGTATTAACTATGGAAATTGATCAAATAAACTTTTGAGAAGGTGATTTAGAAAATAATCTGGAATCTACCCTAAGTCATCTGCATTTTTATTCTTGGAGTTTTTCCAGGCTTTTCATCCCATTTGTGTTGGGGGGAAAAAAGGATGGTTTATGATACGGGAGGCTTAATATCTACTTAACCAAAGGACCACAGTACTTAGCAAGCTGTTATCCCTTCCTAGATTTTCTCCACCAATGAGTAGCAATATTTGGCTAGAGCTGTAGAACTTGACCTAGTCACTTATTTCATCTGGCCTCAGTTTTTTCATGTCTATATCTATTATCTATTTGTCTTTCTAATCATGCAATTATTAAATGAAGAAGCAAATGCAGAGAGAGTTTTATAAACTTCAGAACCACTGCTTTTTATAATTTCTAGAAGAGTGGTTCCCAACCACGGGGAATATTACCTCTCGGGGGACACTTGGGACATTTGACAATGCCTAGAGGCATTTTTGGTTGTCACAAATTGAGGTGGTGGTGGTGTTGTTACTGGAATCTAGTGGGTAGAGTCCAGGGAAACTGCTAAATATCTTACAATGAACAGGAAAGCAACCCCTCTCCCTAAATCTGCACCAAAGAACTGTCCACCTCATAATGTCAATAGTGCTGAGGCTGACAAATCTGGCTTTGGAGCATTGCATAGGTTTTACAATTAAGCAGTTGGGTGATCTTGAGGGCCACCATATACTTCAGTTTTCTAATATGTAAGATCAGGACACTGCCTGTCACAGATTACAGGATATTGTGTCTGCTAAATTAGAGAGTACACACATGTCAACACTCAAAAGAAAAAAAAGTCAAAAAAGGCTGTAAAAAACTAATGGAAAGTGCTGCTGGTAGTAAAGTTAATGAATACATTACTGGACGGAAATCTACAAACAATTTTAAAAGGCTGAAAAATATGACATTGTAGAAAATTCATCATAAGGGAAAAAAGAGGCATGAGAAGGTATCTGCAAAGGTACTGCCTGCAGCATTGCTTACAGAGGTGCCAAGTGGGAGATGAGGAGGTGGAATCTGATTGTGGTCCCTGTCCAGTTGTGTTTCTCAGGCTGGCTGATCTGGTTCTTGTGAAACCACTCACACCACCTGTGTGTATAGTAGTCATCCAAACAAGACAAGCTGGGCTGTCCCCTTCTTTTTAGGTTCTACAAAGGGCTCCTCACGAGTCTGAGTGCTACAGTTGCTTTCCCAGGTCCCCTAAGGCCAAGCAGGGCTGAAGCTTTTTTCTCCTTCTAGTTCTGGTTTCTTCCTTCCCTTTCTCTCTTCTCACATTTTCTTTCTTCCCTCTTCTGAGTCCTTACCCACCCACTCCGCTCTCGCTCTCGGGGCAGAGAAAGCCTGTGAACAACACCTCAGGCTTAGGAACAACAACAGGCAAGGACAAATGCTCTAAGAGCAGGACACTTGCCTACCTCCAGGCCTGACCATCTCCAAACTCACTGTTACTTCTGAATGCTTTCCATACGACAAGTCTAAGCTAATATTTTGGCATGTAGCATAGGCCCAACTAGACAAGAGAACAATACGCTGTTTGTTGGGGAAATTACAGAGCGTGAGAAATAGCCAAATACTTTGCTATTGATATTCTGTTCAATGCACCAAATATTTACACATGTGTGAGAGGGGTTGGGGTGTGGGGCTGTGCTGGTGGGCCAGAGGGGACGAAGACAGTCACTGTCCCAGGCAGCTTAAAGATAGTTAAAGAGCTGATTGGTTGCTCATCTAATTGTGTAATAATCATCCAAGACTCACATGCTTTGAGAGTGCAGAGAAGGGAGGACTTCACAGTAATCAGGCTCAAAAACAAAGACTTCTGAAAGGTGATATATACATATATTCACCTCTTACAAATACATATACACATTTATATGTATTGAGTTTATAGTAGTATATTAAATATGTATAAATTTGTATTTATATTTATATATACCATACCCCCTTTCAGTTGAACTACTCTTGATAGATAAATTCATAAAGACATCAAAAGCTGTGATTAGGATCTCTGGATTTGGTATTAAACAACCAGAGTTTTTAATTTTACCTCCAGGACTTACCTGTTGTGTGGCTTTAGGCAACAATTACTTAACTATTATTTTTATTTTATAATAGCTCTCTAGTCCATACTCCATGTAAAAGATGCTCAATTTTAGGAGCAGATGGTAGCCAAAGAAAGGAGACCCAATATAAAATATACTGCCCACAGGAAATACTCTAAAGTAAGAAAGAAAAATATTCTATTTGCATATTTTAAATCATGGATCATTGTTTACAAAGGTAAAAAATTGAAAATGAGGGAGTGGAGTATTATCATATATGTAATATCTTCTTGTGTAAAATGGGGAAAATAAAAGAATTAGGCCCAAAGTGTTGGTATGAGGATTAACTGAGTTAAATACAAGTGTAGCTCTTGGAGCTGTGCCTAGCCTATGGTAAACTATTATGATTTCTATAATTATTTTTTTTTTTTTTTTTTTTTTTTTTATGTTTTGTGGGAGTTTGGTTGGTGTTTGTGTGGTTTTGGCATTGCATGTGGTAGCTTTTTATGGAATGTGATTTGATTCATGTCGCGCGATTGTTATTTTTTTATTTTGTGTTTCTTTCTTGTTGAAATGATGTCCTTTTGGACTTTTTCGTTCATGGAATCTCTGTTTTGTGACCCAGTGGCACTGTGAGTTCTATGGATGTAAGTGTTTCCAACTTTTTCCTTTCGGGAAGAGTTTAGGATTGTTTTGTATTATTTGGTATGGATATTAGAGTCTGTTTTACTCATGCGTGAGTTGGGTTGTATTGTGGAGGTGATATGTATGTGTGTGGTGTCCGTTTGTTTTAGCTCGTGTTGGCCTACGTGTGGTTGTTGTGTGTCTGTATTCATTTTTTCCAGCACCATTTTATTGGAGTTGGGGAGAAATCTTTTCCCAGCTGTTTTATGTGGTTGATGTTGTTGTCGCTTGGTTGTTTCAAGAGAGGAGTGATGGCGTTGAGTTGAGTGATTGGTTTTATATAGGATTCTCACATCTGTATTCCTTGGGTTTCTAATTTATTTGTTTTGGTTAGTTTTAGTTTTGATGCACAATATTTACCATATTTGTTTATTTGTTGAATTGTATACAGCTGTATTGTAGTTATACCATTGTTGTATACTTGGCATTAGTGTGAATTCCAGTTCCCTTATGTTGTTGATTGTGGTGGTTTGTTTGCCTTTAGCATTGTGCTCTTTGATAACTTCGGGTCTTCTTTTGGTTCCATACGAACGTAAGTATTTTTTCTATATCTGTGAAGAAAGGTGCTCTGGATGAGTGATTCTTTTTTAGATATTAAGAGTTTTGTTCGGTATTGTTGTTGTAGGAGATCGTTTGGGTAAGTAATGAGACATTTTTTGATTGGAGTTAGGTGAGTTGGTGGTGGACCGAGTCATTAGAGAGTCATTTTTGTTTGTTGAGGTAGTTATGTGATGTTGGATTTTGGGTATGTTTGTATTTTCTTCAGGGTTTATTCATTTTTGCGTGCTATTTTCCTTTCCTTCATGTTTATCAAGTTCTCTCTGGATTTTAGATGGGTGTTTTGGTTACTCTGTTT